CTCCTGAACCCAAAAATCGTTAGCAACTCGGACTTGAACCGCAATTGTATATGCAAATGAACGTGAGTCTTTTGAAAAACGACCATTCGGGCAATAGTTTCAATTTTTCAATGAACTAAAAATTTGCATATTTTCAAAAATTCGTTCCCATAACCGCAATCGTATATGTAAATGGACGCGGTTTTTTTTGGAGAACGACCGCTCGGGCAACACTTTTACTTTTTAGTGACTTCGAAATTTGCATTTCAAAAAGGCAGGGAAATTTGATGGAGTACCTCAAAGTTTGATGCAAAAACGCATGATCACACCGGCTCGCCTGGTGCGTTCCAGCCTGGGTTAAGTAATTGTGCAAATGCTGTTTGTGAATGAATTACTCGAGCGGCTGGACAAATTTTGAGCGAAATTTTTTTAAAATAAATTTTTTGTAAAAATCATGCTTAGTGCACCTCTCCTTGCAGCAGACGCATGTGGAAGGGAGGGAGGAAAAGAGGGCGACGAAAGGAATGAAAACACAACATCATATAGGACAATTCCTCGGTTAAATGCAGTACAGGCTGCAAGTAGCATGCAGAATGGAACCAGCTGGCTGGTTAAACCAGTTAGTATAATGTACAGGACTTGCATTATACCAATGTATATAAAGAGCCGATCTTGTACAGTATTATGGCATAAACGTCATGTATACTATAGTGTAAAATGGAGAGTCGTGGAGTTATTCCATACAGAAATATTACATATACAATACAGAATTTTGAGGCATCCTGTACAGCTGATTCTGTATATAGTACACATTTTATCGATATAAAATACAGATAACCTCACATTCGCCAGCTATCCTGTACGGCAGATCTCATGTGTCGCTGATATCCTGTGCACGAAAGTGGGCATTGGTACACATACAACATAGCTCCAGTGCATGTACTCAGATGTTTACATTATCTTCCTCATAAATATTCATTCGCTATCTTGTATACATAACCTCCACATCCAGATGCTATACTGTCCGCAACCTATCCACAAAAGTGAGGCACGGTTACACGCATAAATTGCTCCAGTACGTGTATGCAGAAGTTTCTATGCAAGACAAGGCAAACGCAGTCTCAACGAAGCCAAACATTGAGGACCGGTCTTGCTGCTGAAATTGGCAGGAACACTTCTTCGATTTCGAACGATGGCAACAGTGATCCTGCCGGATGTGGAAAATGGCTTGCACATGTGGGGTTGCACAAGGAGGAATATTTATGCGGACAACATCATTTCACAGAATATTTATGCTGACAACATCATTTTCACCGCGAATTCCATCAAAGAAGTGATCAAAAAATACTGTGAAGCAAAACCACCGGGGTAAATCTGCAGCAGTTTCTGTCTGACGACAACAACTTCAATCAAGCTATTCTGGCGAAAGGTAGGATACATGAGAGCAACACAGAAGTCCTCGTAGTGAAAAGGAATGTATACAACGACGAGTTAATACACTAAACAACCAAGTTAGAATGCAACTTGCCAAAAAAGCGCAAAATTCTCTATCAAACAGCGAGCATGTTGGGCCGGTCGGCTTTCTAATCCCAGCAATACTATCGATGAAGTTTTTAATTCAAAAGCTGCGGAAAAGTAATCGACGGTGGGACGAAAGACTAAACGAAGAGGAGCAAGCGTGGCCGTGAATAGTGGACACCTCAAGCGATACCATGCTCAGAATAGCGCGAAAAGCCTCAGGCACAACAAACGCCGCGGAGATCCATACTTTTTTCAATGTACTTCGAAAAATCAAAATCGGCTTCGAGAAATCAAACGTCGATGGACGAGAATCCTGCCGATTCAGCAACTAGTGGTGTCAGCGTCACAGCACTGCAAAGAAACTTTTTATGGCGGCTTCGACAAGAGGAAAGTAGATGGCCAGGATGGAATTTGGCAAAGTCAGTGCCTATGGCCAAATACAATGAAACAAATCGAAGAGATGCAGGGAATGTGGTGTATATTGCAGACGTTATCGCAAGCGGAATCGAATCCGGGAAAAGTTGATTGATGTGCACCGCTTTGGTGCATGGTTTCGATTAATAAGGACGAGGCACAAG